CTTCCCTTCCCTTCCCTTCCCTTCCCTTCCCTTCCCTTCCCTTCCCTCACAGATGGCAAGGATGATTGTGTCTGATTTCAGATTCCTAGCATCTGTTGAACATGACAGTTAAACTCCTTGCAGTCCTCTCAGTTGTCCAGTTTCTATTTTCCCATTATAATCAGAGGAGCTGCCATTGACAATCACTCCAGACCTGTTGTGAATATTTAAAACCTTTACAACTTTTTGAGTGTCAGTTGTGGAATAGGTCTGATGACTGTGATCTAGGATGAGTAAGGACTTTTTGGACTCGTCCCCTGAATTCATGGTGGGAAGCAAAGCTGTCGAAAACATCTGCTATTAATGCCAGCAGAGTGTGCTTCTGCTTTATTTGTGTAATTTTATTCTGACACCTTAGTCCCATGTCATTTGTACTTTTGCCCCTAGGATCAACACTGGATTCTGTATTGGAAGTTGAGCGCAGGTATTTATTGTAGGCTTTGAGCCATACCTAAATGATGTTTGATCTCATTGCCATTATCATAGCATAGCTCTCTCTTTCTTCTTTCCAATTCTCTTTCATTCATAAGGCTGAAAGACCTTTTAATCTTTATGCAATTTCCTCTGCAAGGTCTAAATCACCTTGATATTTGGCAACATTGATTCTGTCTTTCCCTTCTTGATTGCTCAATCTTAGAGAATTTCCTGAATAATAAAAATTATGTCCATATATGCAAATGTGGTCATAAGCTATCTTTTGGCACATTTTCTCTATTTATTATATCTAATTTATACAGGATTTGTATTAGTCCAAATGTGTTCTTTAGCAGGTCCGATCCAATTTCTGTTTAAGTCTATGGCACTTTCATGATAGATCTTAATGGTTGTGGGATTTAGCCCAAAGCCTGGTGTATTTAAGTCAGTTTTAATCTGAAGGGCCTGTAATAAAACCAATGACTTTGATCTTCTTTTCTGGGAGTTCAACTGAATCAGAGACTTTAATTTTTCTTTTTTAACCTCAAGTAACTGCATGTTAGCTGGGTGACTGTGAGGACAGTCCTCTTCTGCACAAGTTGTTCTTCTGGTTTAGAACAGTGCGTAGGACTTTGGACTATGAAGGAAACTATTTTCATTACAGGCAAAAGTGAGGATACATTACATGGAAACTTTACTATAAAAAATGTATTTCTATTAAGGCCTAGTAATTATATGCATGTGCGTATGTATATGTGTGTGTATGTATGTAAATTTACACATACATACAGGAGCTGTATTTATGAATTAAGTTCAATGGGTTTTTTTTTCTAACAGGACTAAAGCAGCACCTGCCCCCTTCACCATTACTGGATTCTTTTTTGGGCTGTATCGTGATATCTTTTATAATCTGGGCTTCTGCACTTGTGATGAAATTTTTCCCTGATATGCTTTTCTATCCAGTAGGAATTGACTGTATATTACCAAACTGTTACCAAGTAACTTACAGATGCTGTCAAGATTGGCTTAATATGAACTGGCGAGCTAGAGGTGAGGGAATAACTTACTAACCATCTTTTTAAGCCACATTTTACCCAGCACTGACAATTTAACAGAATTGCCAGAATGCTCATCTATTACAATCACAAATCAAATGCCCAACAACCTTAGTGTTTTAATCTTACTGTGTCTTTGTTTCTCCCCTTGTTTTCTGTTTCCCCTCTGCCCCTAACACATACGAACACAGAGACTTTCCGCTTTTATAAATACAATAGATGTTGTTGTCAGTTCAGATAAGAGCAAATGCCAGATAGGATAGCAATATTTTCAGTCCTGGCAAATGCAATCATAAGTTCAGTTTATTAATATTGCAACAGTTGCACTAAATGAGATCACTTGGATAACAAAACATTTATCAACAAAACGCTGCCACCTACTGAAGTTTTGCAAACAGCCCAGATGATTGGGTAAGATCACAAATTCACTCTGTCACAAGCTTATGGTCTTTGCTGAAATCGTTCTGAGGGAAAAAAAGCAAGAATGATAACCAGCAGAACAAGACAAGACATCTCTTTCATGCAGTCTGTTCAGCAAGTGTCAGGGTAAATCCTGGAGAGCAACCTCCAAAGAGGAAAGGAGATTTGGCTCTTTGTGCTCACTATGCCGTGGAGCTTTCAAGCACTGTGGCTAGGGAACTCATCAAACATTTTGGCTTACAGCCTATTATAAACTCCCAGTTTTCTTGTGCTGATGTTCAAAACTTCTATCCAGGCCCTACTAAACTGACATTACAGCTTGCCAGCTTTTTGTTGTGTTGCACCACCCTAGATTATAAAGGCTTTGTAAATAAAAATAAAAGAAATCTTAGTGATTACAACAAATCTTGTGAATTTTCTTTTGCAAGATCTCAACCAACTAAAAATTTTTATTATTTCAGTATGGAAGCAGGCATGCCATGAAACAAGAAGTCCTGCACACTGTACAGGTGTGTCAACCAGTGGATGATTAGACATGCAAGGGCT